ATGTCTCGACGTGAGGTTTTACTGTTTTATTATACACGTGAATATAAATCACGGTTATGACTTGAGGAGAACTACATGTTCTCAAGGCCACTCCGTTTATGCCAAGGAGTATCGCTTCGGAACACCACCAAATGCAATGCAAAATATAGACAAAGGAGAAAAATTGAAAAAATATAGAAATCTTTTCCGATCTCAAACCGACTAAGCGTGATTCGAGGGTCAGATCCTTTGTGAATGCATCAGCGAAATGAAACAAAATTAAAAGGTCTATCAAAATTCACTCGAGTGACTAGTGGGGAAAAGGTCGGGGAAGTGTAGGCTATCCAGCGAGAGGATGACGGTGGTCGGTACCGACGCAGGTACCTGCACGGGTACCTCCTGACCCTTCTCTCCGGCCTCGGCCTCCACTTGTTCCTCGCGTTTCACGACCCCATCGGGATGCTTCCCTCGTACGTGCTTCACCAGGTTGCCCCTCTGGGTGAACTTTTGCGGGCAGAAGTTGCAGGCATAGGGGCGGCTGTTGGAATGGACCCTCTCGTGGATCTGGAGCGTGCTTCTCTGCACGAAGGACTTGTCGCACTGACTGCATTTAAACGGTCGCTCTCCTCGGTGGATCCTCATGTGCCGCTCCACCAACGAGGGCTTCTTGAAGCTCTTCGAGCATACCGGGCAGGTGTGAGACGGCATCTCGAGTCCCGACTCTGCCTGCTCGGAGATTTCATCCCCGTCCTGCCCCTCCAAGTGAGCAGCGTCCGAGACCAGGGGCGTGTAAACGATGGGAGTTTCGGCTCGACACTCGCGTCGACTGCTGCAGATTCGAATGACCTGACCCTTCTCGTCGACTTCCAGTTCCTCGATCTCGTACTCCGGCATCCCCACCTGGTAGGGAGCAAGGCACATCCCTTCACCCTCCCCGCTTTGATCATAGGTGCTCTCGTTCCCGGAGGACGGGACGCCGGGATTGCCGAGAGCCTCGGGATCAGGATTCCCCATGGAAGACGACGACGCCGGGAGTTCGATCAGTTTGAGCACTGGGAAGGACTCCAACGGGTGGCCGGCGGACTTCGCGGAAACGGAGACCGTGGCTTGATTCGTTCTGGTCCTGGCGGGGATCGAATCGCCCGCTTCCGACCTCACCTTCTCCACCCTCAGCTTCATCTTGGCGTGGGTGCACATGTGGGACTTGAGGTGCCCGGACGTGCGGAAGCATTGCCCGCAGACGTCGCATTTGAACGGACGGAGACCTGGAAATGAGACCATCGAGGAATACTTGGAGGAAAAATAGACATTCAGACTTAACAGTTTCTATTTATTTATGATCATTTCTGGATTCTGTTCTTCTCGACTCTCTCTACCTCGGCGGCAAGGCGTCAGTGCATCGACGTGTCATTAGTAATCTCATCCTACTTCATCGCCTCTACCTCAGTCATTGTTCAAGAGATGAATCGACATATTATCTCTCTCTCGGTCATTTTCTATCATGACAGAGCCAGCTGGCCCCGTCGCTCCCCCTCTCACTTAGCAACACTCTCATGCATACAGAATCCACTACTCTTCTACGCATCGATGAAAAGTCTCTCTATGGCTAGGTGACCGATACGCCTCAGGAATTGAACTCCCGACTCGCATATGCAATATAGTCTTGTGATCGAGATGCCTGTCTGAATGATGTCTCGACGTGAGGTTTTACTGTTTTATTATACACGTGAATATAAATCACGGTTATGACTTGAGGAGAACTACATGTTCTCAAGGCCACTCCGTTTATGCCAAGGAGTATCGCTTCGGAACACCATCAAAATGATGTTCAATTCCACCAATTATTTCATGGAAGTAAATACGTGTGAACGCCTGGAAACGACTTGAGACCATCACTTAAATGAAATACTCGGGCAGTGTCCTCGGACTGACTCTTACCCAGCTGTCCTCCTTCCCAGACGCTGTTGCAAATGGCTCGAGCAGTACATTACCTAGTAATTGCAATCGTCATTAATGGCGGAGGGATATAGCTATGAGTGAGGGCCATGGAGCGACATCCATTCCGGAGGGTGTGGGGGGTCTGCTATTTCACAAATGGACGGAAAAGTATGGAACACATGTAAACGGGGGGGATCGTGAAGCCCAAAACACTGTATAAACAACGTGCGACCAAACGACTTGGAAGGGGCTGCCGATAATAGAGGAACGTGGTTACATCGGTTCCAGGGGAAGTTCACGAGAAATTTTCGCATTACCTCATGAGGTCTCATGACCACGAGGCCTCGTGATCGTGAAGAGCTATAAACCTGTAACGTGGATGTTAGTCGGCAAGAGAAACGGGATTCCAACCTGTATGGATCCGGAAATGCATCTGCAAGCTGGCTTTCGAAGACAGGCTGGCTTGGCAGATAGGACAAATGAATTTCCGGCCACCGAAATGGACTTTCATGTGAGAATCCAAGGTGGACTTCACCGTGAACGTCTTGGAACACAGAGCACATTTGAAGGGCTTCTCACCTAAGAGGGGATGGCACGATTTTGCAGTGACGCTTGAAAACAAACAAACTCTCACAGAGCGCCCTCACTCACCAGTGTGAATACGGACGTGCCGAGAAAGATCAGACGGCTTCTTGAATGACTTCGAACAAAAACGGCACTGATTCCTGTACTTCATTATATATCCTTGCCTCTGTCTCTGGCATGCCTTCTTTTTTGGCCTGGCACTCTAATAAAGAAAAACAATTTCCATGAAAAAAAAAGTCTAATGATGGTGTATCAGACTTCAGGCACATGCAGCAATGTCCACGCCAACCTGGAGCTCATCTACTGTCAGTCGTTCCTCTTTGGGTCTGTCTGGAGTGATGGTCAGAACAATATCCACATCTTCTGTTGAGATCACTGGGACTGTCATATTTTCATCCTGCTTCTCTCTACAATTTTTAAACAAGAAGATTATGGTACTTAACTTAAAATAATACATTTGCTACAAACAATAACCTTCTTTGACTACTTTGGTTCTTGCTTATCTATCAACGCTTAGCTCTTTAGCAGCATAAGCATCAAACTGAACGACAGGACGAGTCTCAAAAAGATTACTGAAACTTAAAGTATTTGTGCATCTCCATCAACCTCTTTTAAAGACTTTGGTGTTTGCATGTCAGTAAAGAAAATTTGTCTTTAGCTGTACATAGAGACCAATAATTAGCTCATTGCCAACAAGGAGCCTGCTATCTTTGAATGTAGCCCAGATGAGACCAGGAAAGCTCTCATAGCAGGTTTGTTTCTTCCTTCATGGATGTCCATGACAAGTTGCTTCCTTAAGATGCAAGTCACCAATCAGACATTTACAAAGGATATCATTACAATGAAATTTATTAATGCTGTTTCAGAGTCGGTAGGTCTACATCATGAATTTGCACTGACCTTCGTCAAAGCACCCCATGACATAAAATAATTACTATTTCATTCCAAGGTTACAGTATCCCATCAACTACAGCTGAGGTTTACATTAAAAAAATATGGTGCAGGAAGATCCTGCAGATCATGCAAGAAAATTCCTTAATAACTCGGCAAGGGAAATGATTGCGCAGTAGGTGTCATGTAAGACATACATGTTTTTTGAATGGCTCTTCCTGTGTCGATCTAATGCTGTTTTCCCTTGTAGAGACTGGTTGCAGATGGAGCAAAGCATGGCAGTGTGCAAATTCTTCACATGGGCCTAATAAAAAGGGGAAGTTTAAGTTCTTGCTCCTTGAGCCTTGCTCCTCATGACAAATAATGGAAAAAAATTGGAAAAAGGAAGACAAGCATAAGCCTACCTGAAGCTTCCGTGAAGTTGGAAAGGTTTTATGACAGGTTTGGCACAGATGCAATTCTTTCTCAGATCCAGTATGCTGCTGCTTAATTGGAGAATTTTCAGGCAGTGATGCAGATTGCAAGGCTTCATTGGAAGATGATACAGGGTTGCTCCGGCTGCAAGAAGATAATGATAAACTATTACAGGGTGTTCAAAATGTAACACCAGTGAGTTAAACAAATTTTTAATACAGATTTTTTTGTCAACATCATTCTCCTAAAGATGTTAGACGTGCACTCCAACCATTTGTTGGCACAGACTTGTGAGAATGTGCATTGATGAGAAAATCCGTGAAAAATTTACCTTTAACTCACAACTGGGATTCACACAATCCCAAGAATAATGGAGTATGCACTTCTTTATCGCCCATATACCCATTGCTTTCCTTTCATTTGGACAGTACTGATGGCTGTTGTCATGGCAGCGTATTTAAAGGGATGCTAATAAAACCTGTAGGCAGGGTTCACTTATGGGATTGCCTTTTAGAGGTTAAACTGTGCTACTTTATGAGTGCCTTGCTGCACTTCTGCAATACAGAGAAATCCTTCCAGTCTTCATATATTTTACTCATTCAAGGCATCTTCCCTTACGATGCTAAAGTCTGATGATAGATTAAGTATGCACCTAAATCAAGTACAACAAAATTATTCTTCATATGAGTGATTTCCGGTTACTCTTCAGGTGAAGAATGTAAAATCTTACTTTCCTTTGACTAAAAGAGACACAGATAAGCAATTCCACAAATAGCTATATACATAGAAGAGGAATAGTCATATATTGAACTTGACATAATCCCTGTAGATTCATATACACTCTTACATACACTTCCTATCCCCTTTCACAGGTCCTGAGGATATATAGGTAAATTCAATGTAGCTCATGCTGGCTTGCATAGCACTGTCACTGAATGTTTACCTGCTTAGCAAAAACCTAGTAAGATGCATCAAGCACAAGAGTTATAGGCTCCACTCCAAACATAGGTTTCACTGCAAAAATGTGAAAAGCTTTCTGCTCAATCATGAATGAGTTCATACATCTATTAACAAAAATATACCAAGTGTTTTTGAGGCATTATGGCTACAACAGAGATTTTTAATTACTATCAAATAAGAAAAAAGGTAATTTTCATGACCTTTGCCCTTGTTTTTTACCATGTGGGAAACATGATAGAGAATTGGTCTTTGCACCATTTGATAGTACGTTCAGGGTTTTTCAAATGAAAGAGTTTTTTTTACTTATTAAATGTAATGCTTAAACAGTCTTGAGGACATCTTTTGACTTCTTGAGGATTTCTTCTGGAATATTCTTCAATGACAAATAATTGCAAGGATTTCCTTTCTCTCTCCTCAATGTTCAAAGTTCTTTCTTCAGAGAACCCAGTTGCACTCTGATAAAGTAGTATAATTAACTTTGGCTCAGTACATTTGGATTTATCTACTTGGTGGCACTTGCTCCTGGCCAAGTGCCCACTCTTGCCATCTGCCCTAGGACAAACCCCTAACTCTCAATTAATAGAGCACAGAGTGACTCGTGCTGAAGAATGTAGTGCACAAAAGCAAGTGAGTCAGAAGCCTGTGCAAGAAAAAATACTAGCTCAAGTGAAACTTCTCTGCACATCTCCAACATGTTAGACAATTTACTACTGAGCTACAGCAAGGCAGCTAGTTTTGAATTCATCAGCTATGATGAGTCAAATCAAGGTAAAATTTTTTAATTTTAAACATTAGCAAAGGTTAATTAATAATCAGAGATCACATGAAGATCTATTATCTTTAAACTCAAAGGGGTAATAATATATTCACATTTACAGGCAGATATAATATATGAGCCCTAAATGCACCTTCTACTAAAAGGATATGGGAAGTGGAATTTTTACATCACTTCATAAATATCAAATTAATAAATTTTTATTATTATTGATATACACCATGGGGTGAACAGTTGTGCCATGATTATGAAGTAAAAAATCGTTGCATTGCTCATGACTATTACCACGATCAAGTTCTAGTTAACAAATAACTATAAACTGTGCCACTATTATAGAGGGTAATCCAGGGTCAGGGCTACAGTTCAAAAGGTAGTTGAGATTAGGATGTGGGTTTTAGTTTTAGATCTGACAGGGTGCTTCAATCTGTGAGGTAAGTATAGCATCAGTCAAGTAGACCAATTCATCCTTTGCCAAGAAGGTGCTTTAGATGTGACAGGATACTGCATCAAAAGAATCCTGTATTGGTAGGCTTTCATCATAAGTTTGTATATGAAAGGTGATCATGAAGTCTACACAGGCATTTGGAACAGTCCAAATACAAAACTCATGAGAGGCACAACACAATGGAGAGCATGATGAATGATAAATAAAAGATATCAGTATTATAGAGATCACCCCTGCATTTATAGTTGAATAAAGCCTCCATGCTGATCAATGGTAGCATCCATGCTGGGGTAGATGTTGGAAACTTTGGTGTCAACACCTTTCAAGGAATACATGCACTTTCCATTGTATCACAGTCAACTGACTTAAACCCAATTATTTGCAAAGGGGCTTCTTGAAGATGCTATTGATCAATATGAAGGCCATATTGAACAATGTACTGGTGCCATCTATGCAACTGTTATTTTGTTTTGTTTATTCTCTATCCCATCACACTTCCAATGATTTTTGAGCTGCACTGCTTTGAATACCAATTCAGAATTTATGGGTATCTAGTATCACATGCATAACATACAGATTCTCTTCTTGGCAAGAGAGGAATTAGTCTACTTGACTGATGCTTACTCACCTCACAGATTGAAGCACCCTGTCAGATCTAAAACTAGAACCCACATCCTATCATTGAGATCCTGCCACAACTCATTTTCACATCATCAGACCTGTCATGGACTGAATGGGCCAACCATGAACTTTATGATCTGGCAGTCCCATAATCAACTACCTTTTGAACTGTAGCCCTGACCTTGATCATCTCCAAAGACATCACAGTTTAATCCTCTTATGGGTTTATACCCATAAGAGGATTAAACTGTGAATTCAACAGTCAACAGTGGAGAGTTTTCTCTAAGTAAATGTACTTCAAGTCAGCATAAAGCTCCACTGCAAAAAGAAGTAGCGAGAAAAACCTTTGTCATTTTACCTGATTCCACTATCTTGTTACCATAACCATAATTGTAACTGTGAAACTTGTGCAAAGTGTGAGAAATTAAAAAGTTTATTTTTCTTAGTTGCTGAAAAGAAGATCCTGTAATCTCTCCATATAAGGAGAGTCGAAATTAAAATTCCAGAAGCACTCTGGGTTTTAAAGAGAAGTATGCATGATACATTTTATGCCTTCAGGTACACACTAAGCAATTAGTGTGTACATGAAGGGATTTCCAAAAAAATCGTAGAAATTTACTACTCTTTTCGAGTTTATTCTCTAATTTCAAGTTTTGAGCTCATATTCAATACAAACTTGAAGAACTGCATGACAAAAAAGTCAAGCCCTCCAAGGGACCAAGACCAATATATGTCATACCCACTTGATGGGTTGAAGTTATGGAATAAGCTGTGTGTTTCTCATCTGTCTTTCCATGGCATTCCTTTCATTAGTGGAGCCAATAGGACTCATTGTAAAAGGTTAACCTCAGTGCTTGAAAGAGGACTTCTTTCTTGGGGGATGGCAGGGAAAAGCTCCTCTATCATAACGCTCCCCTGCCCTTAAAGGTGCTGACCAAGGGGAAAGTGCAGAGTGAGGGAATGGGCAAATGAGCCTTCAACCCCTTTTTTTGCTTCACTGACCCATTGAAACTTTTCTTTTCAGCACAAATCATTATTTTCATGATAAATTCACATCCTTCAGGGATGCCAGGCTGCAATCCCAGGATGCCATCTTGCCATATACTGCCCCATATTGAGCACAGGTCAGCCTAAGCTCACCTGATGGGCAACAATGGAGGATTAGTGTTCGAAGGGGCAATTTCATTGAGATTCAGTCCAATTGTGTCCAAAAATCCTCCATTCTCTCCATCCAACATGAGATCATCATCCTGAAATCAAATAACAAGAGTAAGTGGTTGCATAGTTGCTAAATTCATCATGTTGAAAGAGGAAAAGCAATCAACACAAACCTCTATGAAGAAGGAAGAGTGAGCAAGTTCTTCAGAAAACACATTGCCTTGATCAGAAGTAGCAGGCTTCAGCATACTGCTACCACTCTGCTGTTCTTGTCCCTGAGGAGCTTGACTGCTCATGGTGATATCATTGTACATTTCTTGTGTAGGCATTGCTTCTCCTTGGACTTGTTCCTATAACATGACCAGGGTGATTTTATGTCATTCAGTTCAATTATAGTTTCAGATTAAGTTTAGTTTAATTCCAGTTAAAGAAAGTCAGCTAAACTGGAAATAAATTATGGCTTCAGACAAGTTTGTTGAGTTGCCCTTAACTGGCAATGAACTGATACTGGTACCAAGTGAAATAAATCCCCAGGTAATGATCAGCTCATTTGTTTTATTCTCATGCTTTCCTAAGGGGAGGCAGAAGCAGATTGTTCATTTAACTCTAGTTGAGCTCCCATTCAATTTAAGTTTCAGGACATAAACTAAACAGAAAAAGTGATTTCATATTGTCAGTCTATTTACAGTTTATCTCCAGTTTCATTTAATTAGAAATAAACTGAAACTGTAAGTAAAGAAGGGACATGAAATCAATTATAAAACCATTTAAAGGCATTTTTGACTGAATCATGTGGCTACTCCAGATGTTACAACTCTCTTCAATTCAACTGAAATAGTAACTTCTCTGTTCAGGCACAGAAATATTAACTTCTATGGTGCAAGGACAGTATATTTCCACTTTTCTAATTGTTGGAATGAGACTTGTTTCTCAAGATCATGTATATTTTATATGTGGCAGCACATGAAAGCAGTTGTGCAACTTTTTACAGGGCTTTCAGATGACACTTTCTTTTCCCCCATGAGACCGAATTGGCTAACCCCCACGAGATACCTGGCAAACCACATATTGTCAGAGTCAACAGAAAATACTAGAAATGAAAAAAGCAGGTGTAATAGAAGCATGATATCAGGATGGTATCAATCTTGAGTGACAGGGGAGTACCAGTCCATAAAATCTACATCTGATAAATCAGATGGAGTCATAGATTCCATTCAAACAGAGAGAAAAGTCAAACAAAAATACTGGATGAACAGTGAGGGAAACCTCTCTCTTTTCTCATAATTTCCTTTAGAGACAAGTTCATTATTAGAATTAAAAAAACAGAATGGGTCTTGTTTGAGACAAAAACAGCCTTCTTGAAGGACTAAAAAATGGAGAAACTGATGTCATGCATTCTTCTTTCTACCTTGAGATCAAGAATTCTGGAGTACGGCCACAACTCTTTCATGGAATCATACACCCAAGGAACATGCTTTACAATATTACCAGTTTACTAAAATGATTTGAAAACCAATCATACTGTCAAGAGATATAAAGGTGCAAGCCAGCACAATGGAGCACATTCATTCAGTTCAGTTGAGCCTACCTTTAGCATGCTAATGTCCACAACAATGCAGAACAAATGCCATGGCAATGTCCAAGATGAAATAAAACTTAATGCTCCATGTTCCTTAGGAAAACTAAAAGGGAAACATACCGTATGAGAGGCTTGACCTCCAGAGGTAAAGGCATCACAGCTTGGCATATAAAGATCATTGCCCATGATATTTGGCACATAGTCATTCCCTGAAGTGTTTCCTCCTTCTGGAACTTTTTTCAGATCCTGAGAGCAACAAAAGTTTTGTAATGCCATGTGCCACAAGATGCATGCATTCTTCTCTGGAAAGCTCTCAAGCTTTAAATTCTTACAGGATCATTTTTAAGACCAAGGTTTAAGACTGCTAAAAAAAAATTCAGCAAATGACAAGAGAAAAAGATTTATTACTCACTCCCGAACATCCTGTATTGGGGTTCTCCAGGACATCTTGATGGATTTCTGCAGGGAAATAATGCAGGCCCATAATCAACATAAACATCAGTTCATAGAACACGATAATGAGACTTAACGTATTATTACTAAAAATCCAAAATGGAGTCATAGTAAAAATTTAATGGCAACTTTCCAATTGGTAACTAATCTGTACACATTTCTCAAGAAAATCATGAGATTGTTAAGCCACCATAACCATTGAAAAACAAATTGAGCTATTATTCTTGAGACAAAAAAATGTGGCATAAACATTAAGAGCCCCATAAACAAAGCAGTGTGCAAAGAAATATCTGATCTTGAAAAACACCCACTTAGCATGGTACAGGCTTCTTCTGGTTCTTGCAAATCATAAAACAGAGCAAAGACTTAATCATTAGCACAACCATACTCGTTAAATCAAGCATCAAAGTTCAAGTGAAATGATATCAGTCACACCCAGAAGTCTGCCTTCTTGTAAGAGCTTCCTCCTAACACATGAAAATATGCCAGAAGGCAGTGCACAAAAAGAGTTTACACTTTGTTGCACCATGTCCATGTTTTTCAGGCAACTTTAAAAATGTATTTTAGAGCCTCCATTTCCATTCTTTGCAAATTCAAGTATAATAGCAGATGATGTGCTTTGCCATTACCCAGTGTCTCCTACCAGTCTTCCTTCAATATGGCATCCTCTGGTGATCCTAGTTGGCTGTTTATTTTATACTTTCATTTAAGAAACAGGAATTTTTTTTTATTAGTTGCAAACTTACTGAAATTGACTTTAGAGCAAACACACCTACCTCTCGAGCAACCAGAAGTTCTTAATTGGCATGTAATTAACTACTGTAGCTCTGAACTTGTGTGCTCACAAACGTAGGCATCATATATTAAGGCTGAACCAATGTCTAACACATGGTAGCAACCCTGCAAATCTTATTTAAATCCTCTTCTTTCAGAAGCATAGGAATCCTTTCAGGTAAAACATTCTATTATGTTTTGGTGGTATTTTGTCTTTAAGCATGTTTCATTGATATATGTATGCGATTGTGATACATATTCATGGTATGTATTTTTGTATAAAAATCATCTTCCATCAAGATTATTCTCATCTCTCATGGAGTCAGAACATGTACCTTGCAAAAGTATCAATATCTTATATACACTCAGGACTTAGAAATTTGTTCAAATCACTTTTGAAAAGTAAGATTCATCTGGTTGCCTTCTTTTTCCCATCAAAATTACTTTTCATTAACAACAATTTACAAAGATGAAAACATGATTCAAAGATGAAATTCTGTTTTTACTTCAGGCTAGTTTCTTGAATTACCCTTTCCACCTATTATGATTCATTCCATTATTCTTCATTATATCATTCATTTAATTAATTAATTTATTATTATTATTACCAAAATACCCTCTGCAGTACTTCCATATTGTTTTCACAATACAGAGGTATTATTGCTGATTGTCTTTGTTTATGATAAATGGATTGAAAACTTTTCTCTGTTCTAAAAACATGCTGAATGCAGGTATTCTTCCATGGAACACTTTCTAAGCTTTTGAAATGGTGAAAACAAAAGACTATTTCTTGAAGTTGCACAAGTGCCATGTGGAGGTCAATAATGAAAGTGGGTACTTCCCTCCCCTCTCTGTTATTCCATATTAAGGGTTGGGAGGAGCTACAGGGTGCTGTCTATAATCTTCCTGTGCACCAAACTTAATGGTATCACACAAAAACTTCCTCTTCTACCCTTTCCTTCCTCAATCCTTTCCTGTGTAGGCCTAGCAATATGGGAGAATCTTATTTAATGAAAGCTTGCACATGTAGCCTGTCTTCACTTAATCAGCCAGTTATGCAAACAAGAGTAATCAGGAAGGGGCTGTAAGATGAACAAGAACACTGACATGCACATATTCCCAATAGGATTTAATTTATTAATATAGTAATACAGTTATCACTGGTCAAGAATAAAGTGAATAAGATGTATTGTGAATAACTATTTTAATTTTAATTTTAAATGCAATAAAATTAATGCCGCACTCTTGATGATGTCAACTCATGATGCCTACACAGATGGTTTTATGACTTCATAATTTCACTATTGCTTCCTCGAAAAATTATTTTTTAAGTAATTGTGTTTCTGAAGTGGGAGCATGTTGAAATCCCACTTTATTATCACTAGTAAATTGTTCTTATGCAACAAAGAGTTAAAAACAGGAATTAAGGCAAGAACCCACCTTGAGACTGCAAAGGCATTGCATCTCCTTCTGGGAAGGAATCAGGGATTACTTCATCACTTTCCTCCACATTAGATGGAATTCCCTGGGGATAAATTATAAATGCTTTCAGCATACTTCCATTCTGAAACTGCAAGCAAAGAGAGCCTGACATGCACACATGCTTCAAGAGAAATCATATCACCTGGACTGCATCATTTTGGTGTAGTTTAATATGTTTCCGACAGGAGAAGACATCCTTGTACCTCCGGTCACAGTAGGGACACTCAAAGTTCTTGTTTTCCGAATGAACGTAGGAATGGCGTACAAGACTGCTCCGAGTGGTGAAAGATGTATTGCAGACTGAACATTGGAAGGATTTTACACCCAAGTGAGTATAAATATGTGCCTTCAGTGCACTGCTACAGAAAAAGGATCTGCAACAAGAAAGAGAGATGGGATTTGAATTAGTTACATTTTCTATTGCTGATAAATGCAGGCATATATTGGGTTGGAAAGAAAGTCGTGCAACACTTTCTAAAACTATTTATAAAAATTTTCAAAGGAATGATGGGCGGGGCTTTGCATTTGTATATGCTGGAATGTTGTCGAAGCTTCTGCCCTCAGGGTATATAAGGTGGCTTCTGCCATTAGTTGGCAGTCATGGCTCCGATCGAACGAGCAACTCTTCACCCCATCGTCTACTACGAGTTCCTCCAAGGACACTCTGCGAGAGCCACAGCAGACAACATCTGCGCTGCATTCGAGGGCAACGTCGTCCACGATTCCACGGTGTCTTGATGGTTCAAGCGCTTGGAATCTGGTGACACGACCTTCGGAGATCGACCACGCTCAGGATGTCCATCTACAGTCGATGACGAAGCCCTGCAGAACGCCCTCAACGTGAAGCTGAACGCCACCACTCGCGAATTGGCGACTACACTTGGAGTCACCCATATGGCCATCAGCAACCATCTGAACGACCCCAGCTATCGGGAGGTTTACTCGATATGGGTCCCTCATCGGCTCAACGACTCTGACAAAGCAAGCCGTGTCAGTGTCTGCGAATCACTGCTCCTTCATCCACACAGAAAGGACCTTCTGAAGGAAATCGTTACTGGAGATGAGAGCTGGGTCCTCTACGTTAACCATACTCGCAAGAGTCAGTGGCTTCCACGAGGAGAATTGCCTCCACACGAACCGAAACCAGGGTTCCACGAGAAGAAGGTTCTTCTCTGCTGTCGGTTGGATTCAGAAGGAATGTTGTACTATGAGCTCCTCCCAACCGGTACCACCGTGACTGCCGTCGTCTACGCTACTCGACTTCAGAAGTTGGCTGGCGTTATATAAAAAGAGCGCCCCAAACGCGACAAAGTTCTCCTTCTGCATGACAACGCTTAGACAACAATGGTCATAACAATGTAAACTGAAATTGCATTTCAATAAAGTTATAAAATTTTGAAAAATTTGCACAGAGTGTTGCAAGACTTTCTTTCCAACCCAATAGATAGATTATTATGTTCACTAGTATGCTACCTAGACTTATACCAAATGCCTTAGACTGACTGCAAAAAAAAGTAGCATATTCCACATATTTTAAAAACCAATAATTTGTTGATTGTCATGACATACTTAGGACACTGCCAACACTTGTACGGTCTTTCCCCTGTATGGGACCGTACATGGGTCTTGAGATGAGAAGACTTCTTATAAGCAGCAGGGCAGAGCTTGCATTTGTGTGGACGTACACGTGTGTCCTTGAGATCATCAGCATTTAGTACAAGAGGGCGTTTAGATGATTTTGAGACCACTGCAAAATCCAGAATGGAGAAATACAAACAGTGTACATTTGGCTCCAATATCTTCAAATTTTTTTATATCAGGTTGTAAAGGTGAAATTTAGAAATTTCGATTTTTTCTAGAAAAATCTGGAAAATGTTAGAACTTTCAATGTAGGTGTATAAGTAGAGTGACCAGTGGGCATTGTGGGCGTGAGTGCTTATCGTGAACCTACAACAGATACATTGACGCAAGACTGCACTCTAGTCGTTGTTGAGTTAATTGTCAATAAATTGTTTTCTGGAAAATGTCTAAATTTCACCTTTACAACCTGATAGGGGAAATTGAAGGTTCACAAAGAAATTCTCACCTGTGAGACCTTCTTTCTGAGTGATCCAAATTGGTTCTGCCAGTCGTAAACCACTTCCACTCTGGAGGCCTTCCTGGAGCATTTCTGGTCTCTTCTGTTCCTTCTCTCCTTGATTGTGCTGTTTGAATTGCTTTTTCAACATCTCACTCTCAGGAGACTCCTCAGTGTGTCTATTGGCATGTGACCTACAGAAAAAATTATTTATCAGTTAGGGCATCTGGTTTTGAACAGTGCCATAAAGCTTCCTGGGTGGAAGCAGTGAAGAAACAGTTGGGGAAAATGATATAAGTGAGTCTCTCACTTCTGGTGGTTTTGTAGAGATGCCAAGGTGAAAAATTTTTCTGGGCAGTCTGGACAAGGATAATCAGGTTTCTTCAAGCGTGTTGATTTTGAGGTATTGTTATGAGAGGACTTGAATGCTTGAAGGTTTAGATGACTGTCATTGCTCTGAAAATCACAGGGGACATTTGCAGGTATAAAATCATGTCCTGTAAACTGAGTCTGCAATCCCTACTAGACCATCCTGATTTTGAAATTAATCACTTCACTCAAAACTCAGATACAATGGAGTGAAAAACAATATTTAATGAACAGAAAGCTTAATAAAAAGTCAATATACCTTACCTTATGCAGGCATTGTATGGTGTATCAATAGACACTACACTCAATTGACACATGAATCTAATGTGTTTCAGAAATATGTAATTCATACAATTCTCCTGCCTAACACTACAAGGAATGCTTGTAATTTTTCCACCTATCCAGATTTAAATTTTCAGCAATTTATGGTGTACTGATACAAACCCACTACCCTTCTTGCCAGTCTTAATAGGTACCTACTGTCTAGTTTAACCCTTTGCAGTCCTATTATTTTTCAGTTTCGCAGGCCAAATTCAACACTCTTGATGGCGCATCCTACAGATGATATAGGACCTGAGAGATCGCATGTAAGTTTTTCATCCTGGGGATGAGATAGGACCAAATTGCAGTTTTATCAATTTCATCCCGGAGATGAGGTTGGACCACAAAGGGTTAAGCCAAAATCACAAAAGGTCATTTCTTTCTGGTTGTTTTAGCTTCCAAAAAACTTTATAATAAGCTCATATTGACAGCATGATCAGAAGCATTTCCCAATCTGTCACATGTAATGCTTTATTTACATCCTGGACATCATGTGAGGTGCAAAGGGCAAAAGTACACACAATAAAGGGTATTTTACAGAGCCACTCACTTAGTGCAATGGTTTCTGATAGGATATGGGAATGGAACATCCCTGCTATCACATGATGGGCAGGGCTGGACTTGAATGTTATTAAGACAACAATGAGAGATAAATGTCATGCTCATACTGAGAAACAGTTGGTGAAATATTTATAAAGTTTTTTGCAAAGCTATTTTGAAACTGGCAATGGTCATTTATTATGAGCAGGAACATGAAAGGTGAAGTAGTCCACTGGACTTTAATTCAATAAGGGTGGTAAATACTGTCTTTGGGCAAGGAGGTGATAAGAGACTATCTGTTGCATAGGAATATAATGATTCTTCTTACAGCCACCAAAAACCCAGACCCAAATTGAAAAAAAAAAAAAAAAAAAAAAACTCACAAGGATTGTCTTCTGACTTGTTCCACTGGTGTGCCGGACATGATGCCGAACAAGGTCTGAAGGTTTCTGAAAACTTTCATGACAGACTGGGCAGAGGTAGGCTTTCTTTGATTGTTCAGCATGCAACCTCACTGTTACTTTCCTAGAAAGAACATGCTGCCATTAGTACTAAAAAGAAATCTGAACTGATGTGAACCATTTCAAGAAATTTATGAAAGCAACATAGACCAATTGAAAAATGAACAGTAAAATTCTCACTTGGATGAGCCATTTGGCATGGTACCTAGGAGAACTCCATCTCCCTGCCAGGTACTTCCACCACTTTCACATGACTGCTGAGAAATACTTGAGTTATTGAGTGAGCCATGGAGAGTGAGCGTAGTGACTGAATCACGTGACTCTGAGTGTTGTTGAATCTCTGGTTCATTTTGACTAGGTTGTGTGAGACCACTGTTGAGCAGTGCCATCCGGAGCAAGTCTCCCTCACTGCTCTTCATACCATCCGACACTGCATTAACCATGGATGCCTCCACAACCTGTGGGCCAGAGGCTTGTTGGGACTCAGAGCATGGAAGGAGGAGCAATGATTCTGTTTGATTCTTTGACAGTGACAATTCATCTTTTGCAAGACACTTTATTGCTTCTGCAGCCACATGAAGTCGGCGGATATGACTCGTCAAGCTGTTTGATCTCTGGAAAACACTGGGGCAGTATGGACATTCGAACTTGAAATTTGGGCCAGCATCATGAACTTTACGTATGTGCTGTCTCAGATTTCCTGGAAAGCACAAAAGCAAAAGCCTATTAATACAATCATGTTCCACTCTTGCTAGTTCTATTTTATCAATACCAAATATGTTACTACTGCAAAGGGTGAGAATCCACTAACCAACATGGCCAAATGTTGAAGGACAGAATCCACACTGGAATGGACGGCTCCCACTATGCTTGGTTTGGTGGGCAAGTAGGGCATTCTTCTGATTGAAGGCCTTGCCACAAATGCGACACTGAGGACAGTCATGAAGGAATGAACATGTTAAAGCAAGGTTTGGGCATGATTCAAGTTATTAGCTTGAAAGTTTGTCGAATGAAAATAACTTATAGCCTAATAGAGATGCTAAACTTTTGACAGTTTTTCTGTTGGATACGATTTACAGAGATTGAAACCACCATAAAACTTGCACACACCTTTACCATAGAAGTGCAAAATACAGCATGGCTTCTGCTCTTCATACTGACAAGGAGAGATATTTAAAAAAAGTCAGGATGTGAAAAAACTAAACTATTGTCTCAGTTAACCCTTTGATTGCTAGGTTTCTTTTTTCAGGCCTGTCGCCTGAGGATTGAAGCTTGAAAACAATTATAACCAGGCTTGGCAGTCAAAGGGTTAAACTGTTCATGCACAACTTTTATTCATTATTTTCTTATCAATGGTGGAGGTAGCTCACTTTTGTCCACAAGGGGGGAATCTGCTTAGATAAAGAGCAGGAGCTAAGCCAGATACTCTAATGGCAATTTTTCTTATTACACATTAATAAAGAGTATTGCCAACCATAGGTGAGACTTCAAATATGCATGAATCATATCAATCAAGTATCTGTAAATAAAATATTAAAAACAAAACAAAACAAAGCAAAAAAACTGTTGTTACCTCAACAGCCCAAGGGCATCCATTACCTATTCTATGATGGTTTTTCGTACACTTTTGTGAGACATAAGGGCAAATGTTTATAGGCATTGCAGGATCCTTAGATCCTGCAATCCTGAAAAAAAAAGAGTTAAAAACTGAGTAGAAAAATCAAAAGAATTCCCAAGAAAAAAAAAAAGTATCTGTAATGGCTTCTCTATGTCTATCCTGCTTTGAATGTCTAAATGCAAAGAATCTTCCCCCAATGCATTTTGGAATGCATCATGCAAGAAATAATATCCTGAAATAGAAGAAAGAACAAAGCTCAATTCACTAGTGAGCCTCCTTAAATCATCATGATATGTGCAAAAAATGTGGGACGCAATGAGGAAAAGGGATGGGAAGAGTAAGGGCAAAGAATAGAATGACTAAAAAAAAAAGAAGTGCAGATGGTTGGTGACCGAAGCAAAGGAGGAACAACCATCAAGTCCATCAAGCTATTCCATGAGATTTTCAAAATGTCATATTGTGCAATAGAATAATGACATGGGTGACTGAAGCTAAACAGGATGAGAAAGACTCACTAAGTCAGTACAGGTCTGAAGAGAAGAAATATAAGGTGTCCTATTTTCTTCCCAAAGGGAAGAGGTTTCCAACAAAAAAAATTAAGCTGGGCAAAGTCCCATTCCATGGCAACCCATATTGGTGGGTACATGCTAAGGCCTTCTCTAGCATGTTTGAAGGGAAGGCAGTCATTTAATATCAGAGTAATCTTCTAATTTCCAAATAAATCAAGACCTTTGCAACAGTAATGAAAATTAAAATTCCTCAATTTTAAAAAGTTGCATTCCTTAAACGAGATTACTCAGGAGCCTCAATCATGGGAGAAAAACTTAAAAAATCAACTGAAAATTAGGAACTATTTTTAAGCTCACAGAAAGAGAGAGCTGCCTAAAGTGCTTGTGGGGATGACAATGAAGACATAGATGTAATTGTTCATCCAGTCCAGAGTGGTACTTTTCACCATAAAAAAACTCAACTTAGCTCTATTACGAATTTGTAATCGAATGAAATGCTTCGAAATTGAATAGATATCATATTTATCACAATTAAGAAGTACAGTAAACATTTTAAGTTGGAAGCAGTAGTACTCCAGCAAATATCGATGAAAATTCCACATTGGCACACAAGACATCCTGGGCAACTGTATAAGGAACCTCAGTTCATTTTCCAAAGAAAGGAGGATAACTATAAAATAGAGGCATTGGGAAATAAGTACACCTGCATTTGAAGTCTTCTGGATGCTTCACTATGTCCCCCATTTCATATGCCTCTAGTGACAAAGGTAGGCCCATTACTATGTATATTTTTTGTTAGCAGGACAGGCTGTCAATGCCGTTTTACTTTTACTTAGTATCATAGGCAAATCCCCAACCATCCACCTGCTAAAGTCTACAGTTACTTTACTCTTACTAGATGTGACATTTGTCTCATTGAATAAAGATCATGTTCCCATCTCAACTATCTGAAGAGGGGGATGCAAAAGAAGATGTATGTAAATCATGTAGGGAAAAAAGCAAAACGATAAAAGGAAAGCATCTTAGCAAAAAAAAAAAAAAAACATCTCACCTGAAAGGGTCTTTCTCCTGTGTGGATCCTTACATGCCTGATAAGAAGACTCCTTTTGATGAATGCCTTTCCACAGTGACTGCAGGCATGCTTCAAATTTTGATTCCGCTTTCTTTTCTTGTACTTCTTTGTAGAATTGAGTACATGCTTCACCTGGAATATTTTGTACCTTGTTATTTCTTTGGCTATTTGTGGAACTATGCATGAAAGGTGTAATCCACCTTTTCATAATTTTCCAAACCTAATTGACATGATAGAAAACAAAAACTCTCCTGGAAGCTCTCAGAGTTCTTACACAGGATTATATGGACAAAAAAGATAGACCATATATGAGTACCTGCTGAAAACTGTCAATCAGTTGGAACAGACCAGGAATGGAACAAGATGCACCATTCGTTTTCCATTGCATGATGCATCATTTCATAAACTAAAGAGAGCCTTGGAAAGATCATGTACATATGCAAAGCCTACATATGGAGATTAATGGTAAGAGGACATCAATTGTCATAATAATTTTGATGTAAGAAAGTCCTGAAAGAAATAAAGCTTTTTGAACGTCCTCTATCCATGTGCCAGTCAGTGTATAGACTTGGGTGATACAAGGCTTGGGATTCAGCCCTGATGCAGTTTATGGGTTAACCCAGCCATGCAGATTCAGATTCATTTCAAGGTATAAGGGCCCTAAGCATACAAGCCTTCATGGACAGTTGTTGTTTTATACACTTGAGCATGACACTTTCAAGTAGTTCTGCCACCCATGTAAAAGATCTTTATACGAGGTGCAGTCAAAAACAAGTGGCAACACTGGTGTCATGGCTGCCACTGCACGTTAATCTTACTGCTGATGCAAGTGCTTGTAGTTACATCCAAGACCTACTGACAGACGGCTTCTCACTTTCATAGGTTGGTTGTGGTGGTCAAGGATGATGCAACAAGAAAGTATGTGAGCCAGTGTGGTAGAAAAACCAGTGCAGGTCAGTGAAGCCCAGCAGAGATCAATTATCAAATTCCTCATTGACAAAGGGAAAAATGGAAGAGAGATCCATGAAGAGTTGGTTGGATATTGTGGTGACAGTGCACTGTTGTACAGGAGTGTTGCCCACTGGATCAGTGAATTCAAGGGAGAGAGGACCAGCGTTAAGAAGGAATTTGGTGGTGGGTGCCTGTCAACAGTTGTCACAGATGCAAACGCTCGGACTGTGGAGAACTTGATAATGAGCGATTGATGCACAACCGTGGAAGAGATTGTGGAGGAGCTAGGCATATCCCATGGTTCAGTGCTAACAATTATTCATGACAAGCTTGGCATGACGAAGGTAGCTTCCTGATGGGTTCCCCACATGCTGGATGACGAAGGTAGCTTCCTGATGGGTTCCCCACATGCTGGATGACGAGAAGAGGGCAGCCCGTCAGAGGGTTTGCCAGAGCTGGAGACCAAGGGAGACGGCTTCTTGAATAGGATCGTCACTATGGATGAGTCATGGTTCCATTTGTATGAGCCTGAGACCAAGTGCCAATCCCTTCAACAGAAGCACAAGACTTCTCTGCCCCCCTGCCCATAAGTTTTGTAGGGAGAAGTCAGCATCCAAAGTGATGTACACAATTTTATTCGATAACGAGGGTGTGATTCTAGCTCATCCCATGGCACAGGGTACAACAATGACCAGTGCCTACTACACTTACCTGCTGCCTTTGGTTTGCCAAGTGATTGCTGAGAAACGCGGGGACAGGTTCTGGGATGGTGTCATCTTCCATCATGACAATGCTCCAGCTCATTGGGCACTGATAGTTTTCGAGGCATTACGTGAGAACAAATTCATGTTCATGGCTCATCTGCCGTACAGCCCTGACTTGGCTCCCGCTGACTTTGCACTGTTCCCCACACTGAAGGATCACTTACGTGGCCAAAGATTCAAGAGCAGAAGTGCTTTCGGATCATCTATCTTCCAGTGGTACTCAGCGCAGGACAAAGAATGGTTTGCTGAGGTCTTCCGAAAGTGGGTGAAGCAGTGGAACTCCTGCATTGAACTCAATGGGGACTACATTGAAAAGAAATAATCATAGTTCCGTTCTGCTATGTACGGTTTGACTTCACCAGAAAAAGTGCCACTTGTTTTTGACCGCACCTCGTATTAATTTGTAATGGAGTCAACAAAAAGATTTTACTCTATGGGAAAATAATCTATATAGTCCAGAAATGCACTTCTCCCATTGAGAGCACTGACTTGTCCAAATGAAAGAGATGGAAACATACAGAAAACAATTGGAGATCAAAGCTTGTAAATCAAGACAACCCTTGGGCAAAACTTAAAAAAATCACTAAAGAATAAGGAGGTGCCAAGAAAAATGCAGGAACTCTGGTATGACTAGAAAAAGAGTACCACATCTCAAGCTAACAAATCTTGGCTCAAGCAAGATAAGTAGGATGCCAAAGGCTTATACTGCCTGTAGAACATTTAGTGGCTACATATGTTTCAAGTCAATTCTTTCACTGCTCCTAATGCATATGTGCACCTTGTGCAGTTCTCCTCTCAACACAAAAGGATTGCATCCAAAGAGTGACCCTGATTTTTTGAGATAGAACAAAATACAGCAAAATATTAAGCCTTGCTTACCTTCCTATGTCTTTGGTAATGTTCTCTCAGTATCTTTGGAGATGAGAATTCTTGCTGACATTCCTTACACATAAACTTCTCTGGAGCATTGCTGCCCACTGTCAGCTCATAATGTTCACGACAATGTTCATCCAATTGGAGCTGGAAGAGAACAAAAGGACAGTCCATTAGATACTGAATACTAAAAATCACCAGGCAAACAAGAGTTGGAACATACCAGCATGCAGACTTTTAAGCACCATGATAAGCAACTTGTATACCATTTATACATTTTTACAACAAATGCATCCTTCAAACAAAGAATAATGGGGTATGAGGAAGATTCTAATCAGACAAGCATACTACCATGAGCTCCTTGTTGTGCAAGCAAGACTGTCAATCTTTGCTGTGAGGGAAGTACTTATACATAAACAAGGTTAACATCAGGTGTTCATTCAAATTTTTAACATTTTACTTCAATGGAGTCTCCAAACTGCTTTAAAAATATATGTGAAACTATTCATGCAAAAAAGCATGACAGATAGCATAGGTCAAGAAGATCTGACTCTATACTTCAACAGATGTTACTTTTGGCTTCAACAGACCAGCTGGTAATTAGTAGATTCATTTTCAAAGGCAAATCTACTATTACTAACTCCATGAATGAATGATTCTTTTGAATTAGACAATTTACCAGGTCCCAAAAAACAAAGAAATGTTCTATACAAAAAGCACAGCTATTATGGAACAAACCTTTGTTGCATATTCTTCACCACACTCTTCACAGGAATATAGTTCTTCCTTCTGATGATGAATAATATGTGCCTTCAAGCTTGCCATGCGTGAAAATTTCTTATAGCAATCAGGACACTCCAATGCATCCCAATTATGTGTCGCCATGTGGAGCCGGAGGTTACTCTAGGAGGAGATTTAAACAAATTTAAATTACCATTTGGAAGAGTTCTGCAAATCATATTGTCACTAAACTGAACATTGCATGACAGTTGAAACAAATCTTGCATATATTGCCATTCCATTCCCTATGAGCTAGTTCAATTTAATGCACTCTAGTGTGTACCTCTTATGAAAAACTATTTGATTAAAAAATACTTTTTAAAATATTGAATGGAATTTAATGCTTGGGGCACCAATGTTCCTGACTCACCCCAGCATATATTCTTATGTTTATGTTTCCATTAGAACCAAGATTGCCATACGTGAAAATAAACCAAGTTTAATTTTCTTTTCAAATGAAGTATCAGTAGACTGATCTCATTATCATACATACAAGGAAAAATCTAGTCTGAAGATACAAAAATATGTATATAATTTCAATGGCTATTGATCATGATAGATGAGGTACAAACAGATTTACATTTCTTCAGGATGTGATACTAGTCATCATTTAGGAAGATGCTCCCATGTCAAGAATGAATGCCAACATATAAAACTACTTTCCACTTCTTTCTGCTGCATATGTAACAGGAAAAATGAATCAGAAAAAGGGTACCTTAAGCATGAACTGTACATTAGGAATGAAAGTATATGCTCTTTAATCCTTTGTGTGTTTGCAGGCAATTCTTACATACTTAAACCTTGTTTTGTTGCCCTTGGGAGAAAGATGCTGCTCAGCTCTATTGTCTCTATTGTCAGAAGAAAGGGCTCTCACACATGGAGAACACATGGTTCTCATAATTCTGGTAAAACAGACTGATCACTTTTCAGCACTAGAGGTTCAAAGTTGATATGACTTGATATGAGTTTGATACAAGTCCATACAGACTGAAAATACTTATAATTTCAATATACAGTTAGTATGAGAAAAAAAAAAAGACAAGAAGATTTCACCTCATGGATGAAGGACTGGTTGCATTGTCCACAAGGATGGGGTTTTTCCTCGATATGTGTCTGCTTGTGTTTGCAAAGCTGGCGCCAGGTAGCCAATGATTTTGAGCATCTTGAGCACTTGAAAGGACCCTTAGGGAGGGAAGGAGACAAAATTGAAAATACATCATACACAATGGCAGACAAGAATTTCCCCAAAGTCTGTGGCAGCAGTTGGACATAAGTAGTTGGACATCATGAGTATTGTGTACTGCCTGCAATGATGTACTGGGTGTGCAAAAAAAGGGACATTATTTTCTACAGTATAATGAAGAGTCTAAGACTGGAATAAACTCACAATGCAGTAGGTTCCACTTTGTATTATAAAATAATGTAAAATATTAATGATATTGTAAAATAATAGAGCATCAACTGCAAATTTATCTATGAAAGGTTATCCCTTCATTGCAGGCCAACCTTCTTTCTGCTTCTTAGAGATGGTCTTTCTCTGTTCTTACATCTGAGGCATGTCAGCACTTGAAATGACCTTCCATTGTACAGGGTGTTCCATTTAAAATGCAACCCAAAGTACAACAGCAATAGAACAAGACAAACGAGTTGTTTGATAGTTTTTATTTGTTAGGGAGAATATTACAGGAATGTACAGAACAGCTTTACAGTAGATACTGAAAATGTCTCCCACCTTCTCAAAGACAAGACAAGACAAGACTTCATTTTTGTACTGTAGTACATGATTGTTGTTGGAAGCATTTTAAATGGAACATACTGTATAACTTTTGCAATGGCAAACTTGTTCCATACAAAGGATAGATGTCATCTTACATGCTGAGGCATGCTAAAAAATTAATAAATACACATAAACTTATAAGTAGTCAAGCAGCCCATTTTGAAGACCTAGCATTTATAAGCAACTATAAAAATGAAGGAACAGAAGGTTCCTGGAAATGTGGATATATGCAAGGAATGTAATTCCTTTCCAGAGAGGAAATGAATGATATTAACCCTTTGGCTGTTTGCTCGAGTACATACTCGGGCTTATGTAGTGGTAGCATGGGTATGTTCTCAGGCTCAGAACATTCACTGTTTTTAGGTTATTTCACAGCTATTTATGCATGTAACTGCTATCTTCAATAGTTATCAAGATATGAGATTTTCTTACATAAACTATTGTTTTTAGACAAGAAGGACCAATTTTCTTATGAAAACATATCAGCCATCCCCCCTGTGTTATAACGGTCAAAGGGTTAAGGATTTCCAATATTTCAATGCAATATTTTTTCAAAAAATCAAGGATCTATGCAACTATAAGTTTTCAGGGTAAGACATGAGTACCAAGATAATCCTAAGATTAGTAATTTTTTTTATGGAGTGAGAAACTTGGCAAGGGGTGATTCTCACAATACAATTATAATTATTTTAAAAAGTGTAAAGAGCAGAGTGGTGCATTTACCACCATGTCTGTACTATGCAGATAGCAAGAGGAGCACTGCTGAGATGTAGTGAAATTCTTCAACAATAATGGAATGCCATCAGGCTCACCCATAAAGTCTTGTTTTACAAGGTGCTCTTGTGAAATCATCAGTACATCCTATTTTTGTTGAGCTGAGCAAAAACTAATTCTGTACAACATGAAAAAAAGCACATCATACTTCCATCCAGATGGAAAAATAATTCAATTAACAGTTCATATCTTCCTCGAACAAAAAAATTCCAAGGAGCATCAATGAAGATATACATCTGTGTGAGATAATATATTTTCCTTTGCTTTTGTATGTGACAAGCATGAAATATGACTTTTCTCTTTCCCTGTTGCATTGTTTCCCTGTGCAAAAAAAAAAAGCTTAGCTGTTCTTGGAATACTGGTATCAATACAGCAATTGATTCATGAATCAGCCATTCATCATCTGTCAGAGAGTAGAATTTAAATGAAAAGCTCTGAACAAAAAGATGTTATCCTATCAAATGATCGATTTTGATATAGACATTCCAAAATCAGGATTTAAATTTTCAGAGCTAATTAGTGTTACAAATCACCTTGTATTTACAAAGGAATCAGGCCTTTTGGTATCCAAATCATTTAGTGCATGGGAAAAAAAGGCAAGAAACACTTTGAGAAAGGGAAAAGTCACTCTTGTTCATGATACTCATTCAGCCAACCATGAGCATCATTTGTCAGGTAGCATTGAAGGACCAAAAGATAAGATGCAAACAGTTTCTAGAATACTTTGTCCTTGATATCTTTTCTTCAGTCACTACAGTTGACAGGCACAATTGTTGCACTAGTTTGCAACACAAATACTTCTCACTGGTTTGGGGTTGCCACCATCATAGAATGGGTATTACATAGCATTCTTCTGCTTTGCTCAAAGAGTATTCCATTTACTATGTGAGAGGTGGCAAACCATGGAATGGCACCATACAAATAGCATAGTGTTGGAATTGATGCCCTAAATGAGTCCATTGCTTACAGGCACATTATTGCTTTTGAATTGAGTGCACTCTCAGAATATTCTTATGCATTTGGTTACTACTGGGTAAGTTACTCAGATATGGGATTTCAGCATAGAGCTCAATATCCTACAGGCATGTCAATAGCTGTCAATGACCTTGCTGTGGAGATAGGCTCATGCAAATTTACTTTTTTCCCTTAGGCCTAGTGCTGACATATCTGAACTATTTAGGTGTGAAACAAAGCTCATTACAACATTCTGAATGAATGGGTCTAATTTGAAAAAGTCACCTAAACCCATTCCCTGGCATGAACTTCAGTCTGGCAGGTGATGATTGGGAAAGTCTAGACATTATGACATATCAATGCCAGGGAATGGATTAAGACCATGAAGAGACTTTATCAGCAAATTCAGGAAAAATTCTGAATCTTACAACAGGGGGTATTGATGAGGAGATATGAACAGTTGGTCTAATGCATGCATCATTAGAACTTGGCCCATGAATGCTCCCATCCTCAAGGGAACCTACATGCTCACCAGGTCCAAGAGCACCAAGGTCCTGAAAACAAAATGATAACTGTCAAAATAAGCAAACGAAACTAGGAAAGACAGCCTACTGGCAGGAATCATTTATGATTTTATTGCATCCATATATTAGAAAGTGCCAAGGGCAAGGAAATGAATGTGATAAATTTCACCTTATGCAAAGCAGTCATACACACCACTATTGGATTGAATTCCTAACCCCCACTCCTCCCCACCCCACGTAGTGGAGATCAAAGGAAGCATCACTTCCAGAGGATCCATTTCTATCATATAATCTAAGGGATTGCCCATCTGAAAGATGTAACTACCTGTATTAATAGAAGAACCAACATGGGGGAGCATGAATTCAATTCAAAAAGGGTTTAATAACTTCCAATTACAATGAAGTCTTCATTCAACACTCAAAGAACAATTAAAGTTATTTTATAGAAATATTTAAAAGGACAAATTTTTGATAAAGGAAAACTTTTTCTCATCTATGATCTTTTCATAATTTCTTATCCATGGTAACCAGAAAGTGAATGAAAAAGGATTATTAGACCTGAAGGTAAGGCAGAGGCTCATGTGGGATCATTCATATGCAACTTCTCATCAAAATGGCTTTTAAAAAAATTAAACTTATGAAGCTATAATAAATAGTCTATCACACTATGCCAGCAGGCTTACATTAAATAAAGGCAGTTGTAGAGGTCACTCAAGCTAATGGAAAAAAATTTTTTTTTAGAAGTTTATCAACTTTTTTTCCCACCCAAATGATATGCAACATACACTTACCCTTCCTTAATTCCTGTCCAGTTTGGAAGAGAAAATTACAACTAATGTCAAATGCTCAACCAAATAATGGCTTATAAGAGTTTAGAAGCAATTCTCCATGTGTATGAAACAAAAACTGAAGAAAGTAGGCCTAGTAGTAATGAAAGGAGAGGCTATAATTATATAATTATAAGGAGGCTAAAATCCATAAGTCAATCCTAATTGATTGGACATAGTAACTTGGAGGAGGGCCTGTGAGGGGCTCCTAAAGTTGAGGACTTGAGATGTACATGGCATTTTCCTTTAAGGGGATATTGAGTTGTTACCATGGTGATGTACCTTATCATCCAAATTCTCTCTCTCTTTTTTGGGCTCTCAAGATGGAAGCGAAACAGGATTGTTTAGTTTACTCAAAACTTCTACTATAAGCAATTTTTTTCTAGAAATATTTCCACAGGTCAGACAAAAGTCCTAAGTAATCAAATTAATACCAAGGGATTTACAATATACAATGAGTGCTATGTCAAAACCAAATTTAGATTCATTCATGCCTGAGCTACATTGAGCCATCCTTCCTGAACCATAGAAGTCTCCAGTGCAAGGGAAAAGACTTTGATGAATTCTTTTAATTCAGCCAAAGGGAACCACTTCACCTGCTCACTTTGACTAAACTTTCTCTTTTGGCATGAAAGTTCCTTTGTTTTTCTCTCCTTTAAATATATAGGTAACCCTTTTGCTGTGATGTCAAACTGTGCCTCATGCACTTCAACTGCAAAGTTCAACTATAGTCCACATCCACAAATTTTTTGTCCAGTTGCTGCAACATTTTGCTCCAGTCCCTTGATCATTATTTTAAAAACAAAATAAAATATGAAATATGTAAGTTTTTAATTTTTATGAGCAATTGCCATTATTTACAGATAAATAAGAATCCTAAAAATTAAACACACAACAAAAGGGTCAAGATATTTGGAAACATCTTCATTGGTCATATGCTCACCAGAAACTACCATTGGGGGGAAAAAAAAAAACCAGAAAAGGTGCATGGTCTTCTGATACCTATTCCCCTCTTCATAATAACATGGGCTGATCAGCAGGTCTGTAGACTTAGACATCTTTCTAGATGAGACTTCACTCCTTATGAGTGAGAAGTGTGAGCAGTAAAAATGCACATTCATCGGTCATATAAATATTAACCCCACCTTTGTTTGTTTGGCCATTATCTTGCTTGGGATACCACCTGAAAATTGAGAGCTTTCTCAAGTGGGTACCCCAAGAGAGACTCTTACATTGAGTGGCTAGTGTCACATGCCATGTTAGGATGCAGAGAGTTGCCAACCACAAGAGCCTTCAGGTTGAGTAGCTTACTTCTTCAGATCAAGATATCCCAAATCCAGTGGTTTGGGCACATCTGCCAAAATCCACCCGAAACATTCCCAAAAACAGTCCCTCAGTTCAAGATGACTAGAAAAGTCCAATCAGTAGATATTGTATAAGGTGGAATGACTACATCACAGCACTTTGTCACAAGAGGCTTAGCATTCCATCAGTTGTGCTTGAGTCTGATGCTCTTGCCCTTGCCCACAATTGGTAACATTGGAAGATGCTGCCTGCTCCAAGCATGATCCCATTAAGATGGGAAGTGCAGCCATGAAAATGTATGAAGTGAGACCCAATTGCTGCAGCTACATGCATTTTCAAGTTCCCTACATCCATTTTCATCATGGAAAATAAAAATGAAAATTGTCTTCACGATGATGCTTCCTTGCTCATTGAGAGGCACACTTTGAATATTTGCAACTTGCTGCACTCCCTCTGCCAATACCTCCAGCTCTCTAGGCGGGATGCACCCCACAGATTGGAAACGAGTACTCTAGTCTACCAAATGCCTAATATTAGCAACATTACTATCATACCTCTGACTTGGAAGTACATATACTTTCATTCTTGAGGGTCCCATTCAACTTCAATCCTTGCTTGATGACAACAGAAGTTTCCTGATTGAAGTCCTGAAGTATCAAACCATCCTCAGTAGGAAGTATTGTAATAATAGCTCCACCTTTTTGAAGCTCAGATGGAATGGTGAGGACACCTAGGCCCTCCATGGAGGTGAAGGTCACTCCATCATTGGCACTAACATTTTCTTGTAGTGTCACCATACCACTTTGAGGTGCCATATTTTGGCAGTCTTCCTCATCCACTTGGGCTGTCCATAATGAAGTGAGTTCTCCATCAGGTGCTGCTGACAGAGTCACTAGTTCCCCTGATGTAGTCAGGACGGGTATGGAATTTGGGCCCAAAATGTGGGCAAGCGCTTCTAGGTCAACTACTGTTTCCCCTGAGGTCATACTCATTCTGTTGGGATGCATGGATAACACTGGACTTGAAGGCCTATATGCAAATATACACATTCACATCCAGCATCCAGCACATGGATTCATGTTGGGTTCTGGTGCCCCTCAGAGCAGATGGACAAATTCTATCCATGGCTTCACAAATTCACCAATTCCTGGAAGATTCCCTAGACTAACATGAATATGCTGAAAATAGGAAAAGGTGTGGAGTAGGCTACCTTTAGGCATAACCTAATATGTCTAAGTCAAACTAATGATGGAAGTGAGTCATTGCCAGAGTTTAGGCTTTTCAATCCCTCATTAGCCAAAATATTAATCACAGGAAGCTTTTAAATTACCTTTGGTCAGATGCAGTTATACAGACAGTGATCTTTCCTTACTAAATGGTTTTTAGCTGACATTCAGTTTATACTAGATGTAGCTACCCTTCTATTGTCTTACCTATTCTCTTACCTTGCCACTATGTAGACTACTGTTTGGAACCTCTCTTTCTTTAATCTAAGTTCAATGAGATCTATGGAAACCCATGAGCTATGAAAACCAATGTCACCATTTTTTTTTGTGCCCTTGCCTGATTTCCCCCCCCAGAACTCAGATATATTTCTGCTGCAAATTTGGAGTGTAACAGGATATAGCATGAAATCGTGACATAGGCCTAGCTATTTCAGAAACTATGGAATTGCAAGAACCATAAAAATGTGCAAGCAGACACATTAAAAAAATGAAAAATTTGAGCCAATATTGAGCTTGGGATGTCACCGAGGATACTCCTTGAGAACATCACAAGGCTTTGGGAAACTTGGGTTGATAACTGGTTATCACCCATATTAACTTTCCCTTTTTTAAAATTAACCCTTAAACTACCAAGCCTTAAATTTTCATTGTTATAACATAAGCTCTGGGTCAAATTTTACCCAGAGCTTGGTCGTTTAAGGATTCATCTGAAAAATATAAGAATTATCAGATTATAAGAGATTTTTTTAAGGTGGAGATTGTCCTTTCTTCTGATAAAACAAGAATCAATTAAGTTTTTTTATCCCCTCACACAAATAAAGTTTCTAAAAAAATTTTTTTTGTAAAAGTCTTAAGTTGACCATATCTTATTTCACAAGTGCATTACAAGGATTGAATTGCATTTTAAAAACCTGTCTTCTTTCTCCATTTCCTTGCAAAGAAATAAAGTCTGATGAAATAAAATAATTTTTTTCAAAAACAGAACAATTCATGGATTTACAGTGACATTGTACCTAGGCTTACCTTTGGATGTACATCATTTGTGGTCATAATTAAGCACTCCAATTTGAATTCCTGATTTCGTTTCTTTACGTTCATCTTTCTGTCCTTGACCATGCATTATGGAAATGTCTATTCCACATCCCTAGGTTTAATTTTTTACCAACCCACTTTTACTATAGGCCTGGTCTCAGACTTGCACAACCTAAGTTTTCATAACTGACCTAGTGACTATTCTATTGTAAGCCTAGCAAGATGCATCAAAACAATACAGTGTGGTTGTGTGCTTGGTGTCCAGAATACTGGGAGTTTATTTCTTAATGCCTATGATTGGCAATCGTTAGGCCGAAGGCAGTGTCACACTAAACCAAGAACAGAGGTCCCTCCAGTCCAGGCAATCATAGGCCTAGGCATAATTTTCTCTAGTCCAGTTTAGTCATCCCCCTCTATCATGACATGCGACTGGCGCAACCCAAATGTAAATACTGAACGTCACGTGTCAAAGCCTACCACAATAGCTAGGGAACCTCTCTTCGCTCCTCAAATAACCAATGTCCATTAACTTTTCAATCCCTCACCAAGTGAAGAGAGACACATCAACACCTCATTCAATCGACCAGAGTTTCTGTTCTGAAGTTAAAGTTACGGAACCTCGCGGAAACATTTGTTACGACCTCGTCTGGGCTGTGGGTCGGGTGAGTAGGTCCAGCCAGCGAGCCATGCGCTTGCCAGTTGTAACGCCCATGCTTGCTTACTCCTGCTTCCTCTCCTCTATTGGACAGGCCAGAGCTTAGGCCGCGCACGCAGGATAGAGTTTCAGCCAGGCTTCCACATGCATTCGACGCTGCAGTCCCACTGCATAACTCGCATTTCTCAGTTTTCAGATCCCGAAATTTTTCGTTTTCGATGCAGAATTTGATGCCTTCAGTGGCATTTTCCTCCCATTGTTTCTATCAGTAATGAGGAATGTAATAGTCACTCCTTTTGTCAAGTTCGATACCTTTTCTGATGGCTTTGGCACCCTCCCCTCCTAACTTACCCTTGGCTCGAGATGTGCTCCTCTTGCCTTCGAGGTCCAGTCACCACTCTGGTGGCAATATTCCAGTAGCAGATGGAGTGGAGGAATAAAATTACAAATAAAATCATGTATTTTTTTAAATTAAGGTTAAGTGTAAGAGAGCTATAGTCATTATTTACACGGCTCTGAGAATGTGCCTCTGAAGCTTGTGCTCCAGCGCCATCTTTCAAATAAATTTTGAATGAACTCCACATGACCTGAAGCGAACGAAGGCCAGAGAGTGTCACCATTGCCTGGCCATCGTACCATGACGCTCAAGGTAGAATCTTAATCTGTCATTTGAGACCTTCGCTCACCAGGCGCCGGGTGTCTCCAACCGGATTTGCATTTTCACGCTTGTTTCGGAACCAATGGATCAATGGCGTGACCATGTCTCTCCTCTTTTTCTTTTCTTTAACCGGTTGCGAAGAAGTTCTATGGGGGCCTGTTTGCTCATGAGATTTCCTCTTCCGTTCCGAAGAGCGGAAGCTATGACGTGCAAGGTGATAAAACTGGTCAAGCTTTTAGATTTGAGTCAAATATGATGTGTGTATTATTTGACAGTATATTTATGTGTTGTAGCGGCCGTGAGCCACAAAAATGTATTTTAAATAACCCAATATATAATACCTCCAAAATAGGCTTTCAATTTTTCAACCAAATATCAACTGAGCCAATATAGCATCGCAAGGGGTGGCTCGCCCAGATGCGCATCACGAATATTTAGCCCATATCATATGCCAGTCGAGGAAGCCATGAGAGTCGAAGGGGGGGGGGGGGGGGGGGGGGNNNACGGGGGGGGGGGGGGGCGGGGGGGGAACAGCGCCTCTGAGTAATCGTCTAAGCTGTGAAATTGTAGATGAGATTGAGGTAGAAGATAGAAAGTGACTTGACTCGAGTCACAGCGCCGTATCAGTATTGCAGAACGACAGCTGCCCCATTCACGATCGGAATCGAAAATTTCCGTTCTACCTGTGTGACGTTTTCAAGAAGTTAGTGGCGTGTTTCTGGTGACAGTGTTTAGTCCGTAAAGGATACAATTGTAGAATGTGAAAAAATATAGTATTTCGTTTTAAAGTGCAGGGCGAGGCTCTCAATCGCACGCCAATTTTTGGAGGCACTCGTATCACTCACTTTGATTCATTCATAAAAGGGGGACAGTCGGAGTCATGATGGTCGACGAATCCATGCAAATCGCGCGAATTACTCCGCCAATGAGGAAGATCAGAGTAATTGGTCGCCATGGAGGAAAGTTGTCCAACCTAAATGACGGTGGAATTCAAATAAGAAATAAAGAAGGGAAGGTTTGAGATGGCCCTTCGATAAAGGTTCCCGCGCTGCTTCAAAGGGAAATCAAGGACTTTGGTTTCACCCTTTTGAATTGATGTTGGTTGGAAAAAAAAAAGTGGAAACTACGAAGGGCTGAGGGACGAAATGTATTATAGCGGGAGATCGAGTAATGTTACCAGGGAAATACATATTTTGATTCAAAATTGTTAATTGACGAAGCCAAAATCAATGATGCAGTTTTTTTCTTCTTTTTTTTTTACAAATACAGAATTTGCTGCGAAATTCTCAGGAAGCAAAAGAATATGTGCCATTAAGTATGGCATAGACATAGCTCTAGGACCGAGTTTGTGCCGATAAGAGTTTATTTCGAAAACGGTCAGTGGTGAAGCCCCAAGAAACGTCAAGGCAAGGATAAAAAGCTGCGCGAGCAAATGGGAATTCTCGTTGCACAGTTCCTGCCCGAACGACTGCCAGCTTCTCGGCTTCCTCGGTGCCTGGGGAAGACCTCGTTCCGCTTCGTGGCTGCTTGGGAAGTGGCAGGATCGGCTTCGCCCCTTCGGATGGGCGTGTGGATGCGTCGACGGATGTTTAAAAATGCTTGGAAGAAAAGAGCTGTGAGACGAGCTCTTTGACGTGTCTCGGACCGTGAGCGGGAAAATAGGCACTTTCACGGGTTAAGCTGAAATAATTGGTAATATAAGTTTTTATTTTGGGATTTGTCGTTCCACAATTTTTTTGTTTGTTTGAAAACGTGGGAAGTCACATGAATGTGGCATATCTTTCACACGTGTCGTTTCTGGGTCGAATATGAGCAAATTAGGGTTCTAAAACTGTCGGAAATTGTTCATTCGTTAAAGCAAGCAGTGAAACGGCAGTAGTCAGATTCTCAAGGACAAAATCAAATCGGTGAGACAACAGAAGCGACCGGAAGAGACTCTTTCATGACGGGATACAGGGAATCAAGGTTCGCATTGATTGAATATTTTGACCAGGTAAAACTGCGCAAGATGCCTCAGGCACACCTGCACATTTTTTGGCAAGTGTCAGGCAGGCCGATTAACCGTGGGACAAGTTGCTCAAGTCATCGACAACACTGCTTGCCATCCTTGAAATTTTTGTCTCTCAAATTGGAATTTAAAAAATCAATTACGCACATAAAGTGCGCAAATACAGGTATGAAGTCAGCCGATAAAGTACCCAATGTAGCTCAAATATTAAAATTATTTGACAGATAAAAACCCAAATTGCTAACTAAAGCAGTGATGTATTTCACGAAGGGAGTCGCCCCCCCGGCAGCTCTTGAAGTGTGTCTTGAGGGATTTCTTTGTCCCCCCCCCCCCCCCTTCAATGTCCTTGGCAGGTTCCTTTCCGATGCCCTGCACCCCTTGACACATGCACTAAAATACGCCACTGT